ATTTCACAGCTCATTGCAGGTCTTCATCATACAACAGTAACGAGTAAAAGTACCCCCCCCCCCCACTGCACTTCGTCCTTGCGTTCAATTCTGCACTTTGTTAGTTGGCAATTTCTCATCAGGAAAAACACTAAGCTCTTGCACATATCTCTTCTAACTGAGCATTAGTAGAGGTTCGACCGTCATTCATTTCTTCGAGTAATACTCGACATTTTGGTATTTCTTTTGGGTCTAAGGGACAAGAAATTGCTCGGAGATTTCTAGAGCTGACCGGCCAGACAAGCACTAGGGCTGGATTCCAAGGATGATGCCAATCAGTTGATTATTGTTTTGTCCTCTTTGCCATGCGACTTCGCGAAGGGAGTCCATCTGGTGGAACTCTTTCCTTGCACTTTTATGACGTTTCTAATCCATGCCTATTGTACTCCTCCATCTGTACGAAGGCAGATTGCATGCGAAGGTTTCAATGCTTTTGAAATTTCTACACACTAAGAGTTTCGAAGGATCCTAAAATCCAAAATCGCACAATTTTTGTAAAAATCCAATACTCATGACCACAGACGAAGGTGTAGATAACTATGGTGGCTAATTATGGTTGTCAGTTAAACACAATGTTCGGCATTTGGCAAAAATTATGTCTCATTACTGTTTCTCATGCCTCTTCAAATTGAGGCATCCTTCCACTTTCACGATTGGACCATTTCTGTCGCCCTTCTTTTCATGAATTTAATGGTTTGGCGCTTTTCTCTATTTCCTTTCGGTCAGCCAGAAATGCCGAATTTTACAGGAAAGAAAAATACAGGCGATAGCAGCTGTCGCAGGCGTAATGTGTAGCCTCTTGTTTCGTTCCCACAAAGAAGCAGTCATTTATGTACCTCGAATAAATGAAAGTCGAGTTACTCGACAGGGGCTCAAATTCAGTACTACTTGATTGCTGAGTCGAGCATTCCACAGACTGAATAGCTCTATTGTAAGGCAATGCGTGGTAAATTCCAACTTCATTCATTAGGGAGATCCGCCCATAAATAAATAAATATCATGTATTGATGAAGAATATGAGCAAGTAGCGCCGTAACTTCGTGGTAACAAAGAATGCAATAAAGATGCCCAAAGGTACTTTGCTTAAAATTTCATCCACAGTTTCCACATTGAAGGAACAGTTATATGGACAACCCAGCAAAACCATTACCTGTGGTGTTGCTGTTCAACCATTCTTAAATGGCACCCTTTAATTCTACTATATAAAGTGCAGCCGCTGAACGTCTATAGTCGACATTTATAGTAAAATGGTTCGTTGTTCGGTTCTTTACTTCATGCTAATTTAGCGCTTTAGAAAATTTCTGTCCCTGAATGTGATGCATGAGGCACAGTTCATTTCAGCTCCGCGTCAAAGATGGCAAGACTTACATATATGATTCTCACAGGACGGCAAATAGACTGACTTTGGTAATTTTCACTGTTGCTGAAATATACTAATTCTTGTACAACTGCAAATTGCCTGAACAAAGTCGTTTCAGTATTCACGGCTGATCCCCGGAAAGGCGAATCCTTTAGCAAGATTCCCATATGGCAATTTTAGGAACATTTGGCACGCATGTCAATCATGTTTAACCGTGTCAATGAAGCAAGTCTACCTGCAATGCACGTTTATTAGCTTAACCTATAAACGTGATCCTCATTTGTGCCGCGTTGAATGTAACACCTTACAATTATAGTAATGATCTGCTACTGACACAAGTGTAGCTGTAGCCATTGCATTGACAAACAGTGGCGGTCTCAGATCAGTCACGTTTCAATACCCGTTGTGCGGCCGGCACTTAGAACACTACTTCCCACCCCTGCGGCTTATTGATTCATGACAGTTGAGAAGAGCCGTCGCGAAAGAAAAAAGACTCGTTCTGATATTCTGTTGTTTACTGAAACGCCTATTCATTTGTTTCGGGTTCGTTCCACTACGCACTTTAAAAATCTTCACTTATTTTAATTAAATTCTTACGTTATAGTTTATTTACCTCTTAAGCACGCGTTTTAATTGCCATTGGCTTGCTTACTCTGTAAACAAACTCGAAGCTACTTGACCTCATACGATCCATAAACTCAGGAATGTGATTAATCACCTTGAATCAAAGCAAACGTCAGTCTCCGCCGTCAGCCGTCCGCGATGGGTTTCTTTCACCGATAAGTCGGTTAACGTTCCTAATATTCGCCTG